GCCCAAGGGAAAGAAAGAGGGAAAGATGAAGGACCACATCATTTCTAGCATGAATAGCATGAAGTATTCATTGTTTTTGTCACCCAAAATGACCTTCCATGGCTTCCAGGATGCCTACCTCTCCCTGGCCCCCAGCTACATACCAGTGGGAGCCACATTAGATGAGTGTTTAATCCTCAGTGTTCTCTGTGTAAAATTAACCATCTTTTCACTTATAGGGAGGCATAAGAAGAAAGGACAGCAAAGTGGATTTTTTCTTTGCCGTTACCTTTTTGTCCCTCATTCTTTCTGGCAGCCCATAGGAGTGGGTCAGATACATGCAGGGAGGATTCTGTTTACTCTCATCTGTGCTCCCTCTTAATTGTTGTTCTCACAATAGGAATCTGTAGATGTCTCTACTTTGCTATCCCAGGAGCCATATCATGCAGCAAACAAACAAAATTACGGCATTTTCGCCATTCATCGTCTCATATTGAATGGAACAGAAAAGAATTTTCATGGGGTGAATTTCAACTGTGCAAATCCTTTGTGGAAAAGAAAGTGAAATGTGAAAATTCACTTAATGTGATCCCATGTTGTATAGTCTGTGCTATTGATGGGAAAAGAGGAAAGCTGAAAGTTTTGAAATTGCTATGATCTCTTATTTCTAAAGTGTTCTGGGATTGAACTGAATTAAGAGGTTTCTTCCAGAATAAGTTATAGATGACTGGGATATTTAAAGTACTACTCATCTGATTCTGATGATAGCCAACATTTATGACCAAAGTGGTAACTGGAGTGTATGCAACTTGATACAACTGGAACCCACATTATTTGAGGTGAGTTGACTTTCTTTTCAAGATTTTCAGATGAGAACTAGCATCATGTTACTCCTCTGATCTTATTGCTAGTTTCCACACTGGCCATTGATTGATAAGCCTGGAGAATGAGTTCTCTTCTTCCCTCTGCTATGGTGTTGAGGAGCATTCATAGTTCTGAATTCTTTAATTATGCAAAGTCATTGAGTTCACTTGGGTCTGACACTGACTGCTCATACTGAATTGCCCCTTACTGTACAAAGAAACCCTGTTTGCTTTTTGGAGCCTCCCTCACCAGTGTGAGAATCTGGTGAGTTGTGAAAGGAAAAATAACTCTGATGAATGGCATGGTGATGGACCCAAAGTCTCATGAGAGATAAAAATGTACATCCAGAGACAGAAACAGCATGGAGGCTTTGGGGCTGGGGCTGATTAGGTTCACGTGGTGTGGGACAGGAAGCCAGGAGAGCAGCAGGGTCACTAGAGCTCAAACAGCAGCACCACAGAGGCTTCCTTCTTCAGACTGACATAGCCCTCCCACAGAGAAGTCCTGCAAGCACTGCCTGCCCTTCCTTTTATACCATGTCCTTAGAGGGAGCAGTGCTACCACTCCCTTGGAGCAAATGTCTCTCAAGGCACTGCTAACTCACCACCCCTGGAGGTCGCGACCCAGGCACAATCCAGTCTTAAAATCACATTTCATGGTTCCCTGCATGTACTTGAGGCACATCTGGCCTGCTATCCAGAGCAGTTGGTTAAACAGCCAGCAGAACAATCTTACCTGTGAGAACTGAGCAAACTCCTTGTCAGCTAACATGGGAACATGACCCAACAACTCATGGCAGCAGTCTCTGGAAAATAAGTGACCTTCATGTTTATTAAAGGCTTCCTTTCCTGCCCTTCATGAACATGAAGGACTTTAGCCAACAGAGCCCAAAGGGAGCTAGTGTGAGGGCTGGGCCTCTGTGGCTCCCTCCATACCTGGCCTGGCTCTGCAGAGAGTGTGACAGAGCATTCCTTTCTTCCATGGCGAGCCAGCTGTTCCCTGCTACCTTGTCTATTGTCTCACTGGGATGACAGGGGCACTAACCTCCTATGTCACAACATCTTTGAAAGGTCCCAGAATACAACAAAAGTGTCTGTGTGAACTTGTAATTTCTCATGAACTGTAATTGCTGTTGTCTGGCCAGAACTTACTGGGAGAATTTCACAGCAGGAAATCAAACCCCAGCAGATGCTAACTGAAGGCAGGATGAAAAGATTAAACCAGATATTCTCCAGACTTTTCCTTCCCCAGACAACTTTGCAAAAGAGACAGAGACCCACACCCTCTCATGCATGACTTCCCCTTCTAACTCTCCAGCTACCAGTTTCCCAAATTGTTTCATTCTGTGGACTACCGGCTAGAGTTCCAGAGCGATTGGTCCCAAACACATTCAGAAGGATGGGATTATGTCAGGGCATAAAACTTACGGTTCTGGGGAATGCATAGGAGAAGAGAAATGTCTTATATACTGTGTGCACTGGAAGACACGAAGTGCCAGGCTGGCAAGGAAGTCACGAGCTGACAGCAGTCCTGCAGCTGGCCTCAGCTGGAAACCTGTTCTCTCTGCAAAGGGAAGTGAGGCCAAATGTAGGCATTTCTAGAGTTAACTACACAACACACTTACTTTGGGTAAGCAGTTTCAGAGGACCTTCTTGCTCCCTCCACCAAGCACAGTAGGTATAGCCTGGCTTATCATTATTGCCATGCCCCTGTTCTGCTATGGGACCAGTTCCTGTGACATCAAATCACCTAGCCATCCATCCCACAGCAATGATATGAGGTATGGGAGTACTGCCTACCCCAGATCACATTTTCAGCACATTTCCACACATTTATCTACTATGTCTCACATGACAGTGGTGTGTCTGAGGTCAGACATGATCTTTATGATCAAGCAGAAAACAGAACTTGCATTTTCAGTCCTGGATTGTCTGTTGATCCTTGGATTATCTCTGTCATTTTCTGTATAACATATGTAAAAACCAGGAGTTTGATAAATAACACACCCCACTCCTACCCTTGTCTGAGAGCACCTGGCTCTTCCCTGATGCTAGGTTGCTGTTTTCCCCTCTCCTGCCCTCCCTGCACTGAAACCCCTTGTACCTTGCACTGTGGGAGACAGAAGTAGGTGGAGCATAGGTCTGCTCAAGTCAGGGCAATACTTTTGTTCCTTGGTCAGCCTAGTTCAACATACCCCAGAGGTAGAATTGGAGCATACTCTTCAACTTCATTTCCCTTTGTCAGTGCCTGTTTCACGTAACTAGTTTGGCATGGTCAAAACTTGCTATCAATTTTGTCTTTCTGCCTGAACTTCATTAGAATGAGAACATGCAGGAGAAAGGCAAATAGGTCATCATCAGAGATAAGAGATAATATTTGACTCTCAGCCATTTAACATCAGAGTTTCCCTCAGTGCTTTCACTTCTTTTTCAGCTCTGGTTGGGTTCTTTTCACCATCATAGGATCATAGAATCATAGGATCAACGAGGTTGGAAAAGATCTCAAAGATCATCGAGTCCAACCCTACCATGGTTACTAGACCATGGCACTAAGTGCCAGAGCTAACTACACAGGCTCACAGTGATATGATCATCCCTGGTTTGCTTTGCGTGTGTCTATAGAACAGGACAGAAGAATGCAGTACTTTTGCACTGACATTTCAGCTTCTGCTATCCCAGGACACTCTGCATTACTATGAGGTCTGTGAGAGGCAACTAGCAAAATAACCGGTCTAATGGTCAGCAAAACACACAATCTACATTTCCATGGGAAACATGTTGGTGGTCTGCAAAGCTAAGAAAATTGAAAATCACTTCTTTCAAAGTGAGCCAATGATAATCTTTTTGAAGTCCTATATTTGAAATCTGTGTTGCATTCAAAGCTCCCATAAATGACATTTCGCCTTCTTTAAAACATAAAACTACATTTTTAAAAAGTCAGAAATGGCTTTATTCTCCCTTCTCTATCCATATTCTATTGTGTTGTGAAGACTGGAACCTAATATTTTTTTTTTATGTAAACAAACAAAAAAAAATCCCACCCAGAAACTAAGCCATTTACAAGATTTGTTTTGGTTTGTTTTTCATGTTTCTTCCAGCATTTCTTGTCTTAGTCTGTCAGGCTATTAACACTTTTCTCATTAAAAAAAAAAAAAAGAGAGAGAAAAGGAAAAAAGGAAAAAAATTGCTTCAAAGAATTCAAAGTTATGAAATATATGGAACAACAGAGGAATGAAAGGACAGCAAGGAGTGATTCTGCCTGACATTGTGATGACAAAGTGGAAAGCAATTGCTATAGTTATCTTCTACTGTTCCACTGAATTCAAAAGGACAGAACTGCCTCAAAGCTGAACAACAGCAAAAATACCTACAGAGATTATGTCTTTGTGTATATGCTGAGCAAAGGCATCGGAGTTAACCAACCAAGGAATCAGAAGAGGTTGTATTCTCCCCCCTCCCAATTAAGAAATCATGATGTTTGGGAAAATATTCTAGCAGCTATGTCTCCTCAGGCACTGTCCAGGAGCTGGAACAGAAGTGTAATCCCTTACTGCTGATGCCATACTAAGCCAATCCAGAGGAATGAGAAAATCTCAGACTCTGTTCATATTTGGGCTAAATTCTGAGTCTGAGTGAAGTGAATAATACACTAGCTCTAACATACATCATACTAAAAGCAAGACCTAAGTAACTCAGTACTGGAAGGGCTATGAAAGAGTCTAGGGAAATTTATATTGCTTTAGCATCCACGTTGGAGAAGCAGGAGGGAAAATTAAAATTACAGCTTATGTTCTCTGATACGGCCTTTTAAATACAGGCCAAAGAATCAGACAGTCTACTGATGGAACAGACTTGGTCAGTTGCCTTGAAAAGCCATAGGAAAAAGCTTTCTACTGAAGGTAATATCTGCAAAATCTGAACTTCCATTTCATTATTGCACAATAAACCCAGCAATCAGTAGATAATTGGGGGTGTGGCTGGTTGGACCTGCTGCCCAAAGATCTATGAAACAAAATGAGTTGAAGAGAAGGTCTTGAGCAGTTGACCTAAAGTGAACTGCAAGGCTTAATTCTTGGCCTAAAAAGTGGTGTGTAAAGGCAGCCTGTACATTGTAGTGTGAACTTGCTTGAGTTCACTGACTGTAATTTCTTCCAGCTGTGGAGGACAATAACTGCCTAAATTCAAACATCTTTCCTAGAAAGAAAGATATGCCTAGGTTCATTTAGAAAAAACCTTTGCCATGCTAAACAGTCGCATGGTTAACCATTTAAATCCTCTTTTAGTAATTATGAAATATTTTTGATGCGCAGTTCATTGCTGTTCAAACCAGCCTCACTAACAACCATGTAACACTAGACAGGCCTTGTATTGAAGCCAAAAGTAGTTGCTTCCTTAGGTTCACAGATATTGCTAAGTAAAAGAGAAGATAGAAGTTTATCTGGCTGTGTGGGCTGGTTATAACATAACTCTCGGTCCAGGATATCCCTCTCTCTTTTATTTAGTCCAGAGAAGGTTCAGATTGAACATCTGGAAGTATTACTTTACCGAGAGGGTGTCAAACACTGGAACAAGTTGCGTAGAGAAGTGGTCAAGGCCCCAGTACTGTCAGTGTTTGAGGCATTTAGCCAATGCCTTTAATAACACGCTTTAACTTTTGGTCAGCCCTGAATTGGTCAGGCAGTTGGACCGGATGATCACTGTAGATCCCTTCCCACTGAAATATTCCATTCCATTCTGTATAAAGTCCTCTTATCACATATGCTAAAGAATAATCCAGTCCTTAAAGACAGTATTTAGCAAAGATACATGCAAAGATTTATGTCCTAAACGAGAGAGAATGGGACAATTCAGAGCTCACCCAGAGCTAACCAGTGACAGGAAAAACTGCACCATGCATCTCCACATAGGTTGCAGTTGAGATACATCCACTGTATGCCAAGGATTTCTGGGAGACACATCACAGCTGATGGTTTGGTTAAGGGTTGGTTGGTTGAGTCCTGCACAACTGTAACACAAAAAAGAGCCTAAGCTCACAGTGGAATGATGACTTGTTAGGAGCAAAAAGGTGGGTAAAAGCCAACCAAATTAGTAATAAAATCACTACTTATAACTCCTTATAAATCATAGGCCTCACACAGTGGCTGCTCAGCATGAGGTTGTGTTTAACAGTTTAGACTTTGCAGGTGTTTCTGACTCAGACTGAGTTTGTTACAAAGGGGCCTTGCAATAATGTCAATCTTCATGTTTTCTAGAAAGTATTCTGCATAGCAAAATTACCTTCTTAGAGAAAAACTAGGTAAACTATCTGTTCAAAGTCCCATATAATGGGACTGAAATAGTTTCCTCACTCTTAATTGTCTAGCTCTTAACACAGCTCTTTTGAGAAAATTTTGTGCCAGTCATACATAACCTGCAGGCTAAATTAATCCAGGTTTTATCTACACTTCAAGGAGGAGAGGACCAGTGCTCCCAAGAGCCATTCTTTACATTTTCCTTAGTGTAAATGAAATAAGATGAGTTCAGCTACACCATAAGAAAAAATATATTATCAGCCCAGTTACTATAGGAGAGGAGTAAGATGGATAATTGAATAAAAGGGAAAATACATGAGAAAACACCTAATACGTACACAGAAAAATTCCTATAGCTGGATGTGATGATGCTTATGTGAGGTGCTTTTCATGTGTCAGTGCTTCCTTCCCTTCCACAAAAGTTACTGCAAAAGCTTTGTCATTGAACAGCTTAACATTCCCTAAAAATGGCTATGTCTCAGAAAACTCTTCAGCAACAGAAAGCTTCTTCAAGCTTACTAGCATCCCCTACTGTTACATGGAGCAGGTCACTTGATATCCTGAGGATTGGTCTTAAATTTCAGTTATTTAAAGTTAAACCATATTTTTTCTTATTCATTTCATCATAGCAATCAGCTGTCCTCCTTCTATCATGTCTTCTTTTCACTGAGAAGGAACAAGGTTGGTTTAAATGTCATCTTTCTTTAGCCATTCCTGATAATGACAGGCAATCAGCTGTTTTACACAAAGCACATGTCCTTAGGAATCCCTGCAGCCTGTGACCTCATACAAATAATACAGGCTCCCTTCCTCTCCTGCCCCTTTCTAGTCAGCCCCCAGCTACCAGCAGGCAGATCAGCCTGGTAGTCTTGTGTGTCCTTTGATTAAGGTCACATCTTGAAATGGCATTGGAATGTGCTGCCCAGGGAGGTGGTGGATTCACCATCCCTGGAGGTTTTCAAGATGAGGCTAGATGTGACACTTGGTGCCATGGTCTAGTAACCATGGTAGGGTTGGACTTGATGGTCTCGGAGGTCTTTTCCAACACAGTTGATTCTATGATCTTCATGCCTTTATGGCCAAGCACCAGAGCCTTTGCCCTCTCCTGTCAGCCACATGGTAGGTACCACAGACTTTGGTGCAGCAAGTGATGCTATGGAGATGAAGATGCAGAGTTGTTTCAAGGCAGCTGTTGACTGACTAGCAGGACCTCCTGGAAATCATTTTCTCTAGCACACATTGCCATCCTGTCTCATGCATCAGAAAAAAATATGTATTCAAGAGGTATGTACCCGTACTTGTGTTTGGGTTTTACAAGCACCATGGTAATAGAAACATAAAACACAGTCAAAACCATAAGACAACTGTGTGTGGAAGTCATGCTGAGCAGTGTGCTGCTGTGACTGTGCTGCTCTGACTGTGCTGCTCTGACTGTACTGCTGCTAGTACTGGATTACTTGTTGCTGGTTAGTGCCACACCAAGTGCAGCTACTCACAGAATAAGCACAAACTTACTTACCACTTGGTCCCTAGAGAGGCCTAGTATGAATGTCCTATGCTCCAACTCATCTTGCATGAGGGAACGTTACAGCTAATCAGCCAGTGTCCTAGGATATGGTTTGTGGGTATATGTGGTGCACAAATACTTGCATGAAACCCTAGAATAAGCCATGATTTATAATGCCTGACCTTTTAAAAATCTGGAGACATCCTGAAGTTGAGGTATATTATCCTCTTGATAGCCACAGCACTTCTCCAGCTGCTGGAAAGCATCCAGGTACTGTGTACAGGCATGAGTAGGGTAAAGGCTTCTCAGCTTCCTGTAGACCTCTCTCCTGAAAAGCAAAAACTGTGCAGCGTGACCCACCTTAATAAAGCACTACTTACCTGTCCTGTCTACAAAGCCACAGAGAGGTGTAAACTCCCAGTATGTCATGGTCTAAAAATGTGAACTCAGAACATGTGGTGTTTGGATGATGCCTGGGTGGATGTAGCAAACCATAAGGGGTTTTTGTTTCACTTTTCCTTCAGAAGTTTGGTTCTTCTCAGCAAATCCTTTTTGTCACTCCCTATACCCTCCTTTGATGTCAAGGAACTCTAATTCTGATACATAAGTGTTACTTGCTTAGGCACCTTCTTGCTTAGGGTGTTGGAAGGACCAGAACTATCCCAGAGAGAGAGCTGAGGCCGTGGTACTTTCTTTGTTGTCCAGTTTAGGAATGTAATGAATCAGGTGTTCCCTCCCTCACTGCATTGGGGTACAGCCTGAAGTGCTGGTCCCTCCTTCTCCATGTCAAAGCCTAGCCTATACTTGTCTCTTACAAACCTCCTTCCAAAAAGTACATTTTCTGATACTGAAGAGTAATATCTGGACAGGCAAAGTGGTTCACACTTTGAAGATCAAAATGCCTGGCATGGGCTCTGTACTTGAAAGATACACCAGTTCTGGAAGCATTTATCCCATTACACAAGAAGAGACCACCTGAAGAAAAAATATAGATAACCAGATTTGGGCACAGGCTTTAAGTTTTTCCCAGACTTGATGGTTCTTGGATTTAGAGCTGTGGTTTGAAATATATTTAGCTGTTGCAAAATAAAGAAGTAGTAATATGATGGCAAAGGACCTTATAGAAAAGATTATTTTTGTTCAGTCATGGCCCTAGGGTGTTAACAACTTTATAGACATTGTTTTATGAAAATTGAGATCATTCTTAGAAACATTGGCTAGGGGAAATGACCTTCTGTTGGGTTTGTATTGTATTTTTTTTGTGATGTTGTTGTTGCCATGGAGATGAAAGCCAGTCTCTGATAATGGCTCTCTTCATTTGTACAAATGGCTCACACAGTGTGGAGTAATGAAACAGAATGCAGGGGGGGAGGAATACCTTAGGAGGAAAAACATTCAAAGAGCAGAGAGAAACAGTGGGTCCTGTTATTATTGAAAACCAGTGGAGACTGAGCCATTTCCATGGAGGAATTAGGAAAGAATGAGGAGGACTAGAGTTCAAGTGTTGTCCTGGCTTATTTCCTCATAGAATACTCCTGACTTCAGTGGGATTGCACGGGATTTGAACCAGTACACAGATCATACCCAGACTGGAGTCTAGAGAGAGCAGGCTTGTTTACACACTCATACAGTCTCTTTTTCCAAAGCATTGTCCTACTGTGTGTCCAAACATTGGCTACCGCAGAAATGAAGGTATTTCTGTGAGAAACTAGTGATGAATTACCCAAAGCTAAATATTCCTCTTCTCTAAGTACCTCTAAGGCAATCACCTAAGTACACTCCAAAGTCAATAGTGAAGCAGATATTTCTAGAAAACGATTAAGATTGCCCCTAATGTAGTGTCTCACTGGATGGAGATGCCACCACTCAAAGGACAATTAAGATGCTATTTGATGGCACTTGGGTTCAGAGATGAAAAGACAAACTGCTGAAACCACAGTCTATGAAACAGTCTAGAATGGTACCTTACAATGAAGGAGGGAGCCAGCCACTTGAAAGGCTTTAAAGGCTATAACACTATTTTCCATCAATTTCCTAATTCTTCTAGAGAAAAGTGGCACTATTCAGCTTTGCTATGAACATGTGGCAGGTGCATCGACATAACTTTGTCCTGAATTCTCCATTTTTCCTGTACAGCTCTTACCCATAAGACATCTTCTATGATTATGTACACTAATGCACGCAGTATGAGTAACAAACACAAGGAGCTGGAGGCCATTGTGCAGCAGGAAAGTTATGATGTAGTCGCCATCACAGTAATGTGGTGGGATGAATCGCACGACTGGAGTGCTGCCATGGATGGTTGAGTACCTGTGGGTCAGAATCAGGGGAAAGGCCAACAAGGCTGACATCTTGGTGGCAGTCTGTTACAGACCACCCAATCAGGATGATGACGGTGATGATTTGTTCTACAAAACAAATGAGGTGATGAGGGGATTGAGTGCACCATCAGCAAGTTTGCAGATGACACAAAGTTGGGGGGGAGTGTCAGTCTGCTGGAAGGCAGGAAGGCTCTGCACAGGGACCTGGATAGGCTGGAGAGACGGACTGATTGCAATGGGAAGAGATTTAACATGGTCAAGTGCCAGGTCCTGCACTTTGGTCACAACAACTGCATGAAATACTTGAAGAGTGGCTAGAAAGCTACATGACAGAAAAAACCCCAAACATCTGAGCCACCCACTGTGCTGGGGACCTCAGCCCCAAGCTGCCATCAGGGTTCAGAGAGCCACAGAGCCTATAGCTGCAGGGACACTAGGTCTGCAAAAGACATGCCAATAGGGGAGGTGGTCAGTAGCTGCTTGAACATGAGCCAACAGTGTTCCCACATGGCCAATGGCATCCTGGCTCTGCCACTGAAGGGGGGCCAGCCTGATCAGGGCAGCTGGAGCAGGTCCAGAGAAGAGCAATAAGGCTGCTGAAGGGACTCAAACACAAGTGCTATGAGGAGAAGCTAAGGAAGTTGGGTTTGTTTAGCCTGGAGAAGAGGAGGCTCAGGGGAGACCTTATCACCCTCTACAACTACCTGAAAGGAGGTTGTAGTCAG